GCCATGGAAACCACGACCCAGTCACATTGCAGAACACAGTGAGGCCATAACAAGGTTGACTAATGTCTCTGTAAACCTCTCAGTTCAATAAGAGAACAGCAAAAACAGCTAGTGAGCTAAAAGCAGAGCCTAGTATTATTTCAAAGAGCAGACATGCCAAGCCACTGATGACATGTGAATAATAAGCTAGCGTTTAACTCTTCAAATGTGCTCCACATGGAGTCATTTATTGAGTGCAGCTGTCTTGTATCAACAAACTAGTCTTTATTGAAGTGGATGCAAGAGAGAGGCACACATGAAGGCATTCAGCTATTTCCACATTTCATTAGTGATGATAACATGTATTTATGAACCTTTGTTTTGTGTCAGAAGGTATTTTTCCCACAGCGCAGGATAAACGTTTATAGTGAAGAATTCATTCATTTCAATAGAGTCCATAAACTGGCTGCTTTTGACAGTTGAGTCAACAGTAGCCGTACAGCTGCAAAACTTGTAAGCTTCATAAAAGTTATTACCCCTCTTCTGTTTGTTTACTATAAAAGAACATCTAAAATATGACTGTAAATAAAAGTGTGAGAGCTGCCACACTGTATACTAAGATAAACTGGGAAACTAGCAGAGCAGGTGGATGAAATAAGTGTGTGCGAATCTAAATACTTAAAGAATGAATTGGGGGCATTTTGAAAAGCTTGCAGCCAGAGAGTACTCGGCACATAATTTTGAATTTCTATATGTTTCCTGGGACCGTGGTTACAAACTTTATCGTGTACAGTTGGCTGTGCCTTCTGGTAGATATGACAAAAATTAAGTATATTCGTCCTCTTGAGGGGGACTGTTAGTGCACAGATTTGGACAGTAAAATGCCCATGTGTCCAATAGATATTCTAAACAGATGGTCCAAATGTAAACCTAAAATGCTGCAAAGAGTAACTGTGCCAAGCTGCGATGATGTAAAATACAGCTACCTAACAATGGCTTGTCTGACTCAGATAAAGGGGAAACCAGACCCTCCACAGTCAGACAATTTCATCTGATTTGTTGATGACTCCAGAATGCTAACTAGCTCTGTAGTAAAGGGCTGTGAGCCAGTTAGTCGTCTAATGAGCTACAGCCGACCGAAAAAGTTGTGTCCCCCGAGGCAGGCGGTGCCAAAAGAAATTAAGCATGGGCTGGATTATTCCCCTTGCACAGATGCCCACTCTCTGCAGTCTTCTTTTATATCTCACATGCCGAGTCTAAGTTTTAAGTTTGGAAGAAAAGAGGAGGAGAAGGAGGAGGAAATACTGGTAGAGGGGAGGAGTACAACGTCTCCTCACGTCCTAACTTACACCTCTCCAGCGCTCACTGCTGACACATCGCTTTCCATCCCTCTCCCTATTTCTTACTCGCTCTCCCGGCTCCTCCTCTCTTTATCTCTCTGTCTGCGTCTGACTTTTTCTTTGTCCTTCCTCCCCCCCTCCCTCGCTGTATCTGTTTCACTGTCCTCTATCTCTCTTCACTTTGCAAAATCCTTCTCTCAGTATTTTCATCCTTTGCCTCCCTCCACCTTACCTCTCTCTTTCCACCTCAGCAGCAGCTGTGGAGCGGTCAAGTGAGGTAACAGCTCGCTGTGCACATCAGAAGGGCGTACACATTGCACGCAACCTTGATGACATCACACCACTGTATGGGTTGCCCTTATTACACTTTAATAGTTTGCACAGTTGCAGTTGTTTGGCAGTATAGAATCAAGAGGAAATCACACACGGAGAGATACTCATAAAGACATTTGAAAGTAAAGAACACTGCATTAGATTTAAAGGGCATCACACAATCAATGAGTCAATTTCAGTATAATTAGAAATCATAGGAGAGACAAATAGGGTTTTAGTAGTGTAATGACAGAGCCTATAGAGGTCTGACCTCTTCAGAGCCTCACCTGACTAGCACTGTCACACAAAGTCAGATCTTTAGCATCTGCCAACGGCTCTCCGCTGGCCACGCTTGAAGCAAGAACAATGGCATGTCTGATTTGATAACCCCAGACACATAATCTGGTTTCAGGTCTCCGTAATGACGGTGTGTAAATATCATCAAATTAAGGCATGATTTGATTGGGACTGAGTGCAATTCCTCCAATGGTCAGAAAAACACCTAGAGGGCCTGATGGCTGACTGGCAGGCTTGTTTGCTCTTTTTTTCCCCGCCTGCACTGGGTCTGTAAACGTGTGTTTTGCATTCAAACACTCATCTTAATGAATCAAGCCAACGCCTCAGGCAACATGCACAAAATGAAAAGCACATTATGGCTGCTGTTGATTTTCCCCAAGCTAAATATAACATAAAAGGGCTGGTGAAAGAGAATTACCTACTAAATGTTTTTTTCTGTGTGTGTGTGTGCACCACTCAACCTGGTCACAGTCTATAAATATAACGTCCCAAATGTTTTCGGTCATTTTAATGATCTTTTAGAAAAAACAAACATGTAAAAAACCAACAAAACAGCATTTTGTTGCATAAAAGTGTGTAGCTCATATAAAGAAAAATCATCCTATTAGTTCATAATTCCTGCAAAAATTATTAGGACTGTATGCCGCCTAAATGGAAAGAACAAGCTGCTTCACTGCTTTACAACATGTGCTTGTCTGATCAGCTTTTCAAACTTTGTTCTATCAGAAAAAAAGCAAAATTATTGTATTTGCACACATTTTCTCATTAACTTTGCCCAGTTGGAAAAGCTGTAAGCTTGAGCCACACATTTAAACTGATTTGGCATAAGGTACTACTCCCCACGAACTACTGTTAATAAATTGAGCAGAATGTCTGCCAATAATTTTGAATGCTACAGTTGTTAGTGAAGGAGGTATGGTTTGAAATTATTTGATATTGACTGAAAGAATTGTGAGAACCAATTTTTGGTGTAATGCAATATGAATGAAACTTGCTGAAAAACAGCACAATACTGACACAGTAGCTTTCTCCTCTTACAAGTATTAGTTTTAGGATTAGAGTTTAAACAATGTACGTCACTCTTCTCTAAACAATTAAAATAAGCTGGGTTTTCTCTTTTTAAATGTTCAGTGTAAGACAAGTACAGAGCTCAACACACTGTAACCAAAGTAAACACATGGGAAAATAAGAAAAAGCATCTTTACCACTTTGCATTTATAAAAACACTGCAAATAAAACACATTTAAGAAACACATTCACCACATAATGAAATGTTCTGCAAATACAGAAAAAACAGAAAGACTGCAGGTTCAACACAACTGTCTTAAAGACACAAAAACCGATGAATAAAAATGTCTAATCAATTTATTTTAGTTTTAACACTAAGATGAATAAGATGAATATTACAAGAGCATGGATATTATTTTACAGTAGATATTTAGCTAAAACTACTGCAGTCTAATTACTAGCAGGTTTATAATTTCTAGTGCCACCAGAAACTACTACTGCTGTAACTTAATTCTGTTGTTGTGTACAACTTGCAGCATTTCTCTATTTGCTGATTTTGTGTTCTTGGTATTTGTAGTTTGTTTCTTTGTACTGCCTATGTGTTGGTGCAAATGTTATTTCTCATTTTCTTGTTTTACTTCAGCATTCATGTCTTGTCATTGTTTTCTTGTGTTTTCATAAGATGCAGTGTTTTGAGCCCTCTCAGCCACCCTAGAGAACCCCTAACCCGTGATATCTTGTTTGAACATGAGTTAATGCCATACCTTCCACTGCTCTTTTGAAGAAGACTTTGCAGCTTCCACATGTCACGACACCGTAGTGGCATCCCGATGCTTCGTCTCCGCAAACCAGGCACACTTTGGCCGTTGAGGACGGTTGTCTCAGTGGCGAGCTGAAAGGACACACACACACACACACACACACACATTTAGGACCAGACATAAATCAACAAAGAATTTTTTTAAAGTCAACAACAAAGCCAGGGCAGACTGTCCCCTTCCTAACAGTACTCAAGCCTGATACACATTGTGAAACATTCTTGGGTTTTATGACCCACAGTACAGTGGCAGCGCAATGTGGCTAGCCATAAAGATGTCTGCCAACCAAGAGAGGAGGCCTTTGCAGTCAACTGATTTACAGCTTCACCAGGCTTACAAAGATGACAATGACAGAATTATAGAGGAGATTATTTAAATTCAATAAGCAGAGAGACACAGAGCAGGATGTCAAATTTAAGTAGGATCCAAAACACGTGTCCCCTTCTCTGGCATAAGAAGTGTGACGCATTGGGAAAAGTATAGGGTGGTGGACAAAAATAATACAAACCACGACAGAGCAAACATTCAGGGTTTAACATCAAAGGTGAGAATCAGTTCTGATGCGTGCTGTGCTGTAAGTAACATGGCATGTTGTCGTTATTTACTCTGAGCTGCAACCAACAGGCGACACAATTGATGACAGTCTGCTGCAGTTCTGCCTTGTCCAAAGCGTTGTTTACTTTGGCTTAATTTATTGCTTTCACTGCTGACTGATTTCTACAATTGCATGACCATTAAAGCTCAGGATGTACAGTATGTTCTTATTGGTGTGGTGCTAAATGGGAGAATTAGAGTTGCAGTAGATGTCACTGGTAATGGATGATGTCTGTCAATCCAGGTACAAAAGAGGCATGCTCAAAGCTGTTTACTACCACGTTTGAAGAACTGACAAAAACACGCAGTGCACACAGACTACAGGTAAGCCTATAAGAAGGTGAATTATTAGATGCACATTGATTTTCAATGAACAATCATTTGTTTTATTATGAGTGTGTACATTTCCTGTTTCATGAGGTTACTTCTGATATGTTTGTCCTGTTTAATTACAGTATGACCAGTGAAAGACGTTGGTTTGTTTTCTGGTTAAACTGCTGCTTAGACGTCATTGGTTGTGTTAGCTTTGTCAGTTGAAAGACATTTATTATGCTATATGAGCACATTTAGGTTGGAAAGACATTCATAATGTCACTGAATTCTGTCCATTGTCAACACATATTGACAGAGGAACAGCACAGAGCCGGAGCACGCCGATATTATCTGATGATATCGCTCTCCAGAGATAACTATATATCAGAATCGACATCTATGTTGGCCAATAAGTAACACGAAGTTGAAGTACAGCAATGCCAAAGATTGTCTGATGTCATTCAGAAGCACTGTCACCATTACAGTTTGTATGAGAGAAAGTTTATTTTGAAGTAACGTATCCCACCTTGTATATATATCTCATGATTATGTTTTGATAACTTAATTTAAGAAAAATGTTTGCTTATGTTAGTATATAATATGTAGATTTGATACTAAGCTATATATTAAGCTTAACATTAAGACTAAATATATCTGTAAGACCAAGCACTGCTAAATGAAGATGCAAGGCAAAAGATAGAGGGAGGGTGAATTTTGAAAACTAAACCGGCCACTGAAAACACACAGTCCGGTATGGAACATCACATGGTTTCATCAGTTAGCAGAGCAAGCATGCCCTATGGATGTGCATGCACAGGGCGTGGAGCTGATTATTGTGAGTATAAGTGGAATAATGGGCCCACTATATTAGAATATGCTACTTGTTTATACTATTTATTAATGGAATGACACTGAATCAGTTGGCTCTCATACTATAAAAAATCTAACATACATTTACATTCTGAGTAGTGGTATTAAAAGATTCATGCATTCAAGGTTAGGTCACAGATGGAAACATTTGGATATTCAGTATAATTTTTTATAAAATATTTCCCTTCATGTACACACACACACACACGAACACAACACGTAGATGGGTACAAAGAGAGAACACCTTGTATCAAAACATTAAAAGTGGCCTCAGCTTCCCCTTCTTTTCTGTGCTAATTACCTCTCTCCCATCTCAATCAATAACATGCAAGGTGATTGTCTGGTTAACATTCTCCTTACATCCTTCATCAAACCAGCTGCCAAGCACTCTCTTTCCTCCTCCCTCTGTCTCTCTACCTCTGCTCTCTCTCTCTCATGCACACACATTTCCTCCAGGGGACTAGCTGGAAAGGGGTACAGCAACAGCACACTCAGATACAATCAGGACCACTGATCTAATTCCCTCTTGTCCATCTACACACACATTCAATTTGTTAGGACGCTTAGAGGAGTCTCTGGTGAGGTGTTTGTCTGACTAGATCTTTCTGGCACTGGGCCCTATGGTTTCAGCTAATGTGAGTGAGAGTGTGTGTATGTGTGCATGCACAAATCTAATCCATGTCAAGATGTGTTTTTCAGCATGTTAATCTACTGAATATTCCCCCATACATTGGTCTTTCCACACCATTACAATGAATCTAGTGTTAACAAGAGAACAAGCCACGGCAAGAAATCTGTCCCACAAAATTTGTAATCCAAGAACAACGCGAGCAGCATATGAGAGTGTGCTTCTAATAACCAGTCAGTGGTCAACCCTTTAATAGTGCAGCACATTAAAACCTTGTCGCTATGTGCCAGCCTGCCTGCCTGCTGGTCCACCAACAAGGTGACTTCCCCTCCCTGAGAGAAGTATATAGGTCATTCACTCTCTCTGCTTATGAAACCAGAGCAGACAGGCCAGGCTGCAGTGACTGTGCACCAACGGCTGCCAGTAGCCCAAAACTAAACACAAGCTACCAGACATTCCCAAATCAGGCTGTTTCAGCAGAGATGTTAGCCTACAGTTTGTCAGCATACAGGATGTGCAAGAATAATGATGGAAATATGTTTTAATGAGCCCGAGAGAATAAGGAAATGACATGCAACAAAGGTCTGCAGTCAGTATTAAAATTGTGACGTTGTGGTTAAATGGTGTGCGTCTTTAACCACTAGGCCACGAGGACACGCCAATTGAATTTCCTTTTTGTTTGGCTTGTCATTTTCATAGCTTAAAATATTTTGGGGTTGCAATTTCTGTCTGTTTCAATGAAGGCTTAAATGATGATGGACCAATGGAAGTAAGATTGTGTTAAGGCTGGCAGTTCGAACTGTTAATTCTTGCATATAGAGCCTTGTGTCACCCTTCATCTCATACTGAGAACACAAAGCCAGAGTGCAGAAGAAGCAAATTTGTAGAGATAATGTTAACTTAATACAGTATAACACACAAAAAAATACCCAATAAAGTTCTGCAGTTGTGTGCAGACTACTTCTGTGTACTGGGACTGGGACTTTTTTCTTGACCCCTGTCTTCTCTATTTCTGGGTATAGTCTCAGACTAACTCAATGGGACTGACTGCACAGATCAAAGGTCTCATTCTTCGCTCCAGTTGTTGCTTTTTTCCCTTCCTACAGAAACCCCAGGGCAGTGGTTTCATTGTTTTCAGTGTCCTTTCATCTTTAAAGATAACACACAAAGCTAACAACTGATTTAGTTGCTGTTTATTTCCCATGAGGATACAGATGAGTGCAAGTACACAATGCCTGTTTCTTCCCACCAAAATGTACAAGAAGAATTTGTATCTCTTACTAACTCTTGCTGCCCTCTTTGCTGCTTCCCACATGAACATGCAGCTTAGGGAAGATATTAATGAAATGCCAAAGGAAGGAAATATGAGAGCTTGAAGCCAGACAAAGCCCACTGTGCCCACTAAAATGTGTGAGGAGGACCAAACCACAAGACAGATGTTTGAGCTCAAACTGGCCTCGTACTTTTCTACAAGTAATTCGGATGTCACACTGGGAGCATTCTCCAAATGGTTCAAATATCTCCACCCTCTCTCAGCTGTGGAAGGAATGCTAAATCAGCTAAGACCAGAAAGGATGGCCAAAGATTTATCTGAATCCGGAAATATTGTACTTGATAATCACAGCAGAGACTTGAGGGCCTGATTTCATAGTCTATATTAACCGTAAACAGGTCAAAATGGGTCACAGGAAAAGGTCAGAAGTCATCAGAGCGTGGCACAGCTAGAACAATTAGTTGCCATGGAAACAGAGCATAAAGTCGAAGAAAACGGACAAATTAGAGACACAAAGGAAGTAAAGGGGGCTGTAGTTATTCTGAGGTTATCAAGATAACATCATTATGGGTGAATAATGGGCCGTGAGACGGCTGTATGATAGACGACAGCAGGGCCCACGTGATAAGAATGAACCCGGTGACCCACATAAGTACATTAGCATGACAGTAAACAAGCAGCTGACAGGGAGAGCTCTGTTCTATAGAAAGACAATGTCCTCATCATGCATGTAACACTGTCTGCCACAACACATACACACTTGTGTACTTTACTGTACTGTATTTACACTGCTGTAGAGCCATCCGCCCACTGTAAGATACATTTGTGTGTGTGTGTTTGTGCGTGTTTTTGAGTAGACACACTGACTCGTTCATTCTAGAGGCTGTTATCACAGAGATAGTTCAGACAAGTACCATAGCCTCCCTGAACCTGCCCTCATGAAAGAGAAGCATCCTTGACTTTGCAAAAGGAAAAAAAAACAACAACACACAGCTTCTATGGTACAGTACCTCTCTACAGTCTGGCCTACAATATTTATGTAATACACACCTTGCTGAAAAACCTTAAGCTAGACCAGTTCAAAGAATATTTATGTAACACACAACTTGGCATGTTGGAAAGGTAAAGGTAGATTAGTTTAAACAAGCTGAGGGAAATGTAGAGGAAGAGAAAGAGGACAAAATGGCTTACATAACCGTGAGCAGACAGTATAAACATTAGCTTGACACCCACTCACCGCCTCTCAAAGGGAGAGAGGTCTTATGGGTAGTGTTAGAGAGCCACCAGGGATTTAGTTTTCCTGGTGAAGGTGACCCTGGCATTGGGCAGAGTACCTGAGCATACAGAAATATGAGATTTCCTCTTTGTCAGGCTTGTGTTACACTTGTGTTAAGGTT